CTGCTGTACATAAAGTAAAATAAATAATAGTTCTTTCCAGTCCCGAGAGAGAATCTATAAATTTCCGGAGGTCTTACAATCATCACACAAAAACCTATTATCATCTCATTTACAGGTGTGTGTTTCATGTTGCGGTGGTCTATTAATAATTCACAGCTGCCTTAACGAATATTAGAGGGTGTGATTCACAGGGTGTGTGTGCGTGTGTGTGTGAGGCAAAGAGGAATCAGCTGCACAGGTAAGTCCTTGACTTACAACCAAAACTGAGCCCCAAAATTTCCCCGTTGCTAAGCGAGACATTTGTGAAGCGAGTTTTGCCCCATTTTATTGGTTTTATTTTTGTTGAGCGCAATTTGCCGTATTCTACGACTTTCCTTGCCACAGATGTTAAGTGAATCACGGCTGTTGTTAAATTAGTAACACGGTTGTTAAGCGAAACTGGCTTCCACCACTGACTGTGCTTGTCAGAAGGTCGCGAAAGGGGATCACAGGACGCCTCGACTTACAACCGTTCGTTTCGTGACCGTTCAGAGTTACAACGGCACTGAAAAAAGTGACTCGCTATCATTTTTCACAGTTATGACAGTTGCAGCCTCCCCATGATCAGGTGATCCAAATTCGGACGCTTGGCAACTGACTTGTACTTATGACAGTTGCAGTGTCCCGGGGTCACGTGATCCCCTTTTGTGGCAAGAGAGGTCGTAAAATGGGGCAAAACTCACTTCACAAATGTCTCGCTCAACAACAGAAATGTTGGGCCTCAAGTGTGGTCATAAGCCGAGGACCACATGACCCCGGAAAGCGTTTTCAGACAATGCTGGGTCCCTCAATTATGGGACAAGGCTGGCTGAGGAATTCTGGGAGCTGAAGTCCACAAGTCACAAAGTGGACAAGGCTGGCTGAGGAATTCTGGGAGTTGAAGTCCACAAGTCGCAAAGTGGACAAGGCTGGCTGAGGAATTCTGGGAGTTGAAGTCCACAAGTCACAAAGTGGACAAGGCTGGCTGAGGAATTCTGGGAGCTGAAGTCCACAAGTCACAAAGTGGACAAGGCTGGCTGAGGAATTCTGGGAGTTGAAGTCCACAAGTCGCAAAGTGGACAAGGCAGGCCGAGGAATTCTGGGAGTTGAAGTCCACAAGTCGCAAAGTGGACAAGGCTGGCTGAGGAATTCTGGGAGTTGAAGTCCACAAGTCACAAAGTGGACAAGGCTGGCTGAGGAATTCTGGGAGTTGAAGTCCACCAGTCGCAAAGTGGACAAGGCTGGCTGAGGAATTCTGGGAGCTGAAGTCCACAAGTCGCAAAGTGGACAAGGCTGGCTGAGGAATTCTGGGAGTTGAAGTCCACAAGTCGTAAAGTGGACCAGGTTGGGGACCTCTAACATGGAGCATGTCTCTAAATCTTTCCAGAGAAACTAAAAACGCTCCCCGGTTTCCTAAGGGCAGGAGATCCCCTTCCACCGTCACTTTGCGAACCGTTCTCCCAAATGTCTCCCTTTGCAAGCGAGCACAAACATGACACAACGGAGAGGTCGGGGATGTGTGAAACGCCAGAATATTCAAATACGCCCTAAGGCCAACCTCATTAGGCAGCAAGGGCAAAAAATATCTTATTTCACTCCGGCGAGATTTCCATCGGAGAGGGATTTCCAAGGGGAAGCCTTTCCCTCAAGCTGGTTAAAAAAATAAAAAATAAAAATACAGGCAAATTTTTCTCTTTAGCACTGGACTTTTCGCGATATACCGTATTTTCCCAAATATAAGCCCTAACTGGAAAATAAACCCTAGCATGATTTTTTTCAGGATGCTCGTAATATAAGCCCCACCCCAAAAATAAGCCCCAGTTAAGCCCCAGTTAAGCATGGCTCAGCATGGAAACCTCTCCCTTTCCCCTCAGCACGGCTGGCTCAGGAATTCTGGGAGTTGAAGTCCACCAGTCATAAAGGAGCCAAGGTTGCCTACCCCTGGCCTAGCCTCAAAAGCCAATATTACCGTATTTTCCCCAAAATAAGACCTAATCTGAAAATAAGCCCTAGCATGATTTTTCAGGATGCTAGTAATATAAGTCCCACCCCCAAAATAAGCCCGTTAAGATCGTCAGCCAGACGGACACATTTGGTACCGTATTTTCCCGAATATAAGCCCTAACTCAGTGGTTCTCAACCTTTTTAATGCCGCAACCCCAACTGGTCATAAGTTGAGGACTAAACTGGTCGTAAGTCGAGGACTAAACCGATCGTAAGTCGAGGACTAAACCGGTTGTAAGTCGAGGACTGCCCAACCGGTCGTAAGTCGAGGACTTCCCCTGCCCGGGAGCGCCGCACATGCGTGGTTCCACCCCCTGCGCCGGCGGAGGCATAGCTGGCAAGCGGCAGAGACGGAGCAGGCCGACCACCAGCTGGCCCAGCCCAAGGGAGGTAAGGCACCTGCCGGAAAAGGGGGAAAAAATGGACAAAAAAAATGGCGGACAGCCTTGCTTGGTGACCCCCATGAAATGGTCGATCGACCCCAAATGGGGTCCCGACCCATAGGTTGAGAACCACTGCCCTAACTGGAAAATAAGCTTATCCCATCCCATCCCATCCCATTCCATTCCTCTTCGCTCTGCTCTTTAAAGCGACCTGGTTTTTTCCTGCTATCCACACAATCTCCGAGAAGACAGAGCTACTTTAAAAGGCCATCTGGGTGATCTGAAGCACAGACTTACCGTGAAGTAATAGAACTGGGACGATTTCGCCATGAATTCTGGTCTGCATTCAGCCACACAAATGTCCACATATCCTGCATGCTGACTGAGTTTTGCCTCGGCCATCTCACAGACAATTCTAGAAGGAAAACAGAGACACTTAAAGGCTGAGCTTTTCCTCTGCTAAACTACTTCGCAGTATCCAAAGCTGGATTCATAGCATCTTACTGGCTGGATTTATTGCAAGATGGATGGTTAGATGGATGGTTAGATGGATGGATAGATGGGTGAGTGGGTGGGTGGGTGAGTGGGTGGATGGGTGGATGGTTAGATGGATGGATGGATGGATGGATGGATGGACGACGGACGGACAGACAGATAGACGGGTGTGTGTGTGTGTGTGTATGTATGTATGTATGTATGTATGTATGTATGATTGGATGGATGGATGGATGGATGGATGGATGGATGGATGGATGGGTGGTTGGGCGGGCGGATGGATGGATGGATAGATAGATAGATAGATAGATATGGATGGATGG